CCCGGCGAGAGTTGGGCAGGCGGTCCGCTAAACCCTTTGGTTCGCCTTAGGGGGAAGTGGGGCTGTCACAAGTTTGATTTTTAGGTACTGGTTAAATGTCTAATTTGTGTTTTTGTTGCTGTGTTTTTCTAATTTGTGTTTTCTGGTTAAATGCCTAATTGGTGTTTTTCCTGTAGTTTCATTTGCTTGGTTAAATTTCTAGTTTGTTTGTGTTTTCTTTTTAATGAATGTTATGCTTTGGAGGTATGCTAGGTTTGATTGAAATAGAGAATTTATATGGTAAATAAAAAATAATAAATAGTAATAATAAATGGTAAATAGCAAATAGTAATAGTAACAGTAACCGTATATAATAAATAGTAAATAGCAAATAATACATAGTAAATAATAAATAGTAAATAGTGATTGTATATATTAATAGTAATAGTTAATTGTAATAGTAATGAACTAATAATAAATAGTAAGAGTGATAGTAATATTAAATAATAAAAATCAAATAGTAATACTAATAGTAATAGTAAAAATTAAATATTAATAGTAAATAGCAAATAATTGTAGTAAATGTAAACTGAGGTAGTAATTGGTGATTAATAGTACTAGTACTAGTAATTGGTAAGTAATAGTAATAGTAACTAATAGTCAAAAGAAATAAGTTGTAGTAATATCCATTAGTAGTTAGCTATTTAATAGTAACTATGATTAGTGAGTAATAAATAATAACAAATAATGATTAGCATTTAGTGGTTAAGTGTTAATTGTAAATAGTATTTAAAAGTAGTTAGCAATAATTATTTGATTAATAGTAAAGAAGAATCATTAATCATAATTTAATTAATAATATTTATTTGATAACTTTATCTTTAATTATTTATTTGTAATTATCTGGGCACACAGAATTATTTTTACTTATTAGGGATGAATAGTAATTCATGATTGTTTTATTGCTGATGTTATTAATAATTATGATGTTTGTTAAGTTAGCATTATTAATTATGACAAATTGTCGAGGAATATAAGTTGATTTAAAAATATTCATAAGATTAGGAAAAAATATCAACAGACATTGCATTGGTAATTTAATTTTATTAGGGAGGCATAATAGTGGAGATCAAAGGATCATGCGTATGATACTCCGAGGTGCCAAAAAGCCATATTACTAAAATATCAAATAAGTTATGATGAGTTGGCGGATAGAGTATACAACTACATGGGACTAGACCGGAATGTTTTCAAATTGAATCTATGGCTTAGGAATTCTGAAGGCCTAAGTACATTTGTTGGAGTGCAATTAGGGTGCGAAGATGACATTGGCATGTTGTCCAACTCATTCTTCTGTGCTTGTACACTTTCTATAGTAGCAATGTGAGAGAAAAATTCACTCATACTCATAATATGTGTTACTATAAAAGATGAACTACTACTGCACTTGTTAACTAGATCATTTATCACTACTTGAGTGCTCGCTCCAGAACCACTTGAACTTGAAACATGCATTACCACATAGTCAGCATATATATTATACAATGCTTGTCAGAACTTGTCTATATTCAGTTGCACTTCATGCGGAAGATATATCAATGAAAAGAAATAGTTGATGATTCTTATTTTGTTCCTGCGATCCAAGATAGCTACTGTAGACATCAATAGATTGCACTCACCCCAGTGGTTGTCAAATTTCACTTTCATCCCCCAAACCATTACTCAAACAAAGTAGTCTTCATCATCTGCTTTGCTATCTAATAGTATTTTTATCCCAAAAAAAACTTTATTTAGATATAAATTAGTTGTCGAATAATCACTCCCTGGTATTATATGAGTTGCAGTCCAGAAAACTTATAAAATGTTGCACCATTTTTCTACCTTTTCCTTATCTTCTGTGATTGGACAGAAATCATAACTTGGTTCTCTATCTTTGAATCTTGGAAGCATCTTTTGGAACTTGAAAGCAAAATCTAGTATCTCATAGGTAGAGTTCCACCTTGTTTTGCAGTCATAAAGCAGTACTTTCTTGGGCGATTGCAATTGTTACACAATTTCAACAAAGATCAAGCCTCCCTTCGATTTTATTTACAAGCTCCACGTTGTCCCTTATGGCTTGAACCATCTCTTGGATTTCACTGAGACCATCATGAATCATTAGGTTGAGTATGTGAGCGTAGCATTTCACATGGAATAGCTTCTCTTTGGCTAATGGACACTTGTTTCTGGAGAAGGTGTCCTTCAAACATCTTAATGCAGTGTCATTATTTGAGGCATTGTCCACCGAGACTATATAAACTTTGGTCTCCAATCCCCAATCCTTTAAGCATTTGAAAATAGCATTTGTAATGGTGATGCTTGAACGTGGAGGAGGAATATGCAAAATTAAGGACCCATTTCTGCAATCTCCAATGAATATCAAGTCAACGCCCAATTATAACCATATACTAAATCTTCTGGTTCTTAGACTCGCAAAGATCTATGATCAAGCTAATTTTTTTGACTTTCTTTAACAAATGCTTCAATTTGGTCTTCTCTTTTTTGTATACGAAAATGCAATCATTCTTATTAGTGGTCTAACTGGTTTTTTGCCATTTAGACATCCCCTTTTTCATCATGAAGTTGAAACCGTCTTCCTCCACAATTGTAAAGGAATGCTCATGCATAAGCACCCACTCAGCTGCACTTTCTCTCATGGCAGTCATATCAAACTTGCCTGTATGAAAGTAGGAATGAGTAATTGAGCTAGAATCTGCAATTGGAAAATTAATATTTTGCTATTTTGCCTCTGATTTTTTTAGTTTCTCCAATCGTTTAGGACCATTTTTAAGATTCCTTAACAAACTTGAAGTTGTACTGATTTTTGTCTTCTTGAATTTAGCTCTGCAATGCATACATTCCCAGTAAAGTGTTTTTTTAGGCTAAACTTCCACATCTTTGAATCAACCTAAGTCTTGGACTTTCTGGCTCTCTTTTTCTTTCTAAAAGTATCTAAACTAACACCTTGAGTAGCCTATTGATTCAAACTTTGAGCGGGTGCTTATATATCACCTTCTAACCTCTTTTCTTCACTCCTTAGTTCTTCATCTCCAATAGAATATTCCAACTCTTCCTCATTGTTAATCCCAGCACAATTACCAGTTGATTTAACTAATTGTGAAGACACATCTTGGGGAGACATGGCCATATTGTGCTTGTGCCTTTAACTATACACAAAGGAAGACTAACCAATCAAAGAAGGAGAAAGGAGAAAGGACATGAGAACCCCTAAATTAGCAGTCAAACTTCTTTTCTTTCAAGCAATAAGGTAGACTATCATAACTGAGATCCAGGGTTTTCACAAATTATATAAGGATACATTTGCACAGGCAAACTAGTACAAAAGGTTTTATTCTAGTAAAATGCTAACTAATCAATATTATTGAATATTTAAAGTACAATTTCACCAAAAGGAGACTGGAAATACCCAAAATTTGCAGAAGGAAAAAAGGTGGTCATCCTAAATATTCAATCAAAATCAGCAATGCACTTATCTGGTGTTTTTCATCTTAAATATATATATAACCAAAAAATGACATAATGCTAAAAATCGTTTTGCTTGCATTAACACTGAATAGAAAAAATCCAAAAAAAAGCATAAATTTTTTTATTTATGGATAACCACATCATATACTTAGTTTGTTCTCTCTTTTGTTTCCTTTGGGCCCATTACATACTAAAGAAAGAAATAGAAAGCTATTCAAAAATTATACTACCAATAATATTTCAAAAACAATATACTAATTTAAACCAATGTGGCTGAACTAGATATTCAATAATTCAAGCAAATTTCTTGCTTAGCTATGATTAAAATACTTGAAGGTATTAACTAGCGATGCAAAAAAAGTGTAATCAATGAAAAATAACTAGATTAAAAAAAGAAAACTTTATACCGAATTGGTACCATTTCATTTCTATACATATGATGGCAAATTTAGCAATGGGATTGAAATTTAATTTGTCACTTCAAGAAATATAATGAAAATAACTGAAACAAATTAAGAGGGTCAAAGCAAGTATCTGTCAACAGCGATTGCTAAAGAGTGACATGAGGAGTTGTAATGTTGCTGGAGTTGCAGCCTACTACTAGCTTTACCTTGATGAGCTTGCGAAATGGCTGGTGCTATTACTTTTGAACTTGGTCAACAAACAGGGAGGAAGGTTACAACTAGGGACCTAGTTTTCGATTGAAGGGTGGCAGTGGTAGTGGTGGGTGTGGTGGATTAGTGGTAGTAGTGGTAGTAGCAGCGGTAGTGGCTAGGGGCCTAAGGTTGGGTTTGTTTGGTCATTGATTTGAGGGAAAGATGAAAGAGTAATCAGGAATGTTAAGTTGTGTGGACTCAAATGGAGCTTGTTGTCTGAATGTTAAGTTAATAATATGTAATTTTGCATGACTCAACGAGCTAAGGAGTCTTTGTGCAGATGACTCAAGTTGGGCTTGTTTATTAAAGGGGTTCAAACAAAAAGGCCCCATATGGTATATCTAATACAGAAAAAAGTCCATCGTAGTTTCAAAACATACAAAACAACACCTCATATTTTGAATTAAATTGTAAACTAACAGGATTTGTTAAAGTTAACGAAAATGATGGTCAAGATTGTTTAACTTACGGGATTCCGTTAAATTTACCGTTAAATTTATTGGATGCCGTTAAGTTTTTCGTTATGTTTACAGGATTTCGTTAAATTTAACAAATTCTGTTAGTTTATAATTTAGTTCAAAACATGAGATGCTATTTTGTATGTTTTGAAACCATAGGAGGATTTTCTGTGTATTAGATATACTACAGAGAGTTTTTTTGTTTTTAACCCTTTATTAAATGAGTAGCTCGAGTTCAATTCAAACTCGGTGTTCTCGAGTTCGAGTCAAACGTTGACTCGTGAGTATGATGGGACAAAAATAGAACAAACCCAAAATCAAGGGCACTGTATCAGCAATTTTACCAAACTTCCCTGGGGGGCCCCCTTTTTTGTGTGTTTAATTTTTGTAAGTTCGCAGGATTAAACCGCCTTTCCCATCAATTTGAAGGAATCTTCAGCTCACGACGCCACCGTCTAGCTTCAAAGTCCAGCGAGAATGGCGGTTAGACAAAGCCGCAAGCAAATTACACAACCAGAGGTATTGTCCGCTAAACATTGATGCAATGCAATTTTTTTTCGTTCAATTTTGTTTGTTTGATTTGATTGCATTATCAGATTTTGCGTGTTAGATTTCTCCTGTTGAATTACGAGAGCTTTAGAGATTTTTCTCGAATAAGGGGAAAATTGGATTTGGCTCTGTTGTTCATTTTTTTTTGGTTCTGTGAATAGTATTCTATGATGAGTGTGTTTGTGCTGTATAGATTCCGGGTTTGTGTCTTTGGTTTCTTTTTCTGTTTTTAGAATTTCTAGGACAATCTCCTTGTTCTAATAGTGATTTTATTGTCTACAACCAGCAATAGGTTTTATTTATTCGTAGCTGCTAATAGAGATATGATACATGTTTCCCAGCATCTTTTATGGCAAAACTTGGAAAAAGTTTCTGACTTCAAAGAGGAGAAGTAGCTGAGCCACCTCCTTTAGTTGTTCTTATGATTAACATTTTCCTCTATGCTGTTTAAGTTTGCATAGGTTATTTGTGGAATTTGGTCAAGTAGTTACTGTCCCTCTTTTTTGGTAAAAGAGTTTCTCTCAATACCATAACCACTTGTGATGGAATTGTATATATGACATTTCTATCCCGGTCAGATGAGTGGTCGGTTGTGGAAGAATGAGACAGACAACTATAGTTCAAAACACTAATTTTGCCAACTTGGAATGGAGCTGTGATAACCATCTGTTACCACTAACTTTGCCAACTTGGACATTGCCCAAGAGAGGTCTCCATTATAGTTGCAAAGCCAGTTGATTGATTATCAAAGTAGACTAAACTGGCTGGAAGTTTGAAATCAGAAAGAACCATAGCTTCCTGCTCTATTGAATTATCTAGCTTTCAGGTTTACCAAGTGTATGTTGAGTGACTTCAGAGGTGTATACAGAAAGGAATTATTTGCAAGCAATTCTCCAAGCACACTATCATTACATCCTTGCTGGCTTTCATGAAAAACCACAATTACTTAGTGTTGCTTTAACTTACATGTTCTGTATCCTTACATCACAACTTATGTAATGTGTTATAAAAATGCTTGTGAAAAATGTTTGTGAAACTTGTTGCTAATTACTTCATTTTTTAACTCAGATAAATGAAGAAGTTGAATCTTCATCTGAAAAAGGCAAAAGTTTCATTGCACCCAGAATCCTTCAACAGCGAGAATTTCAGGGTAACCGTTGTTCGCTATCTTATACAGTTATATAGCAAAAAGTTCATATCACATATGAGTAGCACTAATTTGTCAGGTTTCTTGATCTCACAGGTGCTTTGACTGTGCAAAGAAGTAATGGGCTGGGAAATTCTGGCCATTCACACGTGCATAATGGTGGCAACAGTAGTGCCACAGACATTCATGAATCAGAAAGTCTTTCTGAAATTGATGATGCTGAGGTATGTTTTTGAATCCTCTGCATGAAGATACATGAGATTTGTTCTTGCGACTGTTAATTCTCTGACAAGAGCCCGAGTCAATTTTCAAAGCTTACCAGACTACTGGATTGGCTACTTCTGTGGGACTTTTCTTGTCAAGTCATTTTGAATTGTCTCTTTTGGAGTTATATCATTTGTCTCTGATGAGTACTAGTCCAGAGTTTACTCCATCAAGTGCTTTCAATCTTGTATTTAGTCATACAAGTGACTCGGATGGAATTTAACAGGTTTTCCGTCTATTTGAAAGTTTTTATGGATTGGGTAAGATAAACAATTTATGCTTTTATTATTCTTGTTAAGTCAGAAGTGGCAAAAAATTCGCACTCAGACATTCTTAAAAGGAAAATTTCTTATTCTAAGACATTTAGTGTCAAAAGTAACTCCACTTGCATCAAATACTCCTTGGACCACACCTTACACATAAAAGAATTACTTAGTCAGTTTTAAATCCCAAGGAGTTGCACTAATCTAACTTAAGTACCTGAATGACAGCTTTTACTTGATTTTCTCCAAAAGATAATTAGCATCCGTTTTTTCTAAATTTTGACTTAGCTTCTGTAGAGGTCTAATGCATTTAGGGTAATTTTGGCAAATGAAAGCGTGACCCAAAAGGTTTAGTCCATGCCCCTTCTTCAAGCTTTATATATAGTTAGATATTCCAAGTATTTCTTGAGCTGCTACTCTTCTTATTCTAAATGCCATTGACACTTAAAACTGTGCTCATTCACATAACAGTACTGCATCAATTTGGGTCTAACAGTTTGTCACGTCTAACTAAGTCAAGTTGTGGATGGATCTTCCTTCTTGAAGTTTGTTAGTGATATGTTGTTTAGACATTTCTGTTTAGTTTTGTTTTCAATTATATGATTTGGAACTCATATTTGGATTGTATTTATTTTTTTGGTCAAATATTTGGATTGTATTTAGGTCATTGGATATCTTAACACCAAGCATGAGATGCGTTATAAGAGGATCTTGTGGGAAGCAATGGATAGAGGATTTTCAAAGGTAGTTCCTTTTTTATTTATTTACTCTTGTTATGTTTATCAAACAAGAAGACCTGGTAACCTTGGCATAAAAAATGAGCAGCTACCAGTTTCTTAAAATTGTTGTATTTTACCTTTCTGTGCAATAAAATCACCTTGCCATGTTGGATTTTTGTCATGTAATATGTGTCCCATTTCTCACCCTGGTGATTTTTTGCGGTTTCTTAGTTTTCATACTTTTTCTTTCTATAAATTTTGATCTTTAAGGCCCCTTGTTCCTGTGCTGTTCAAATTAGGCTAAGAAACCAAAACTGAAGGCAGAACTCAAAAGAAGTACTTCTGTTGATAAAGCTGCAAAAGCAACTCCTAAAATAGAGAAAAAGGTAATTAACCTGTTTCTACAGAAGTGTTTCTGTGATATCTATTTAACTTGAATTAATCTGCACTGTTGAATTAATGAAAGCTAAAGAGCCTTTATTTCAGGGTCGCTTTATGGATTGTGTTTATCTTGTCAGTTATTTTGCCCAAGTATTAAGACAGACTTTTAATTGTTTTATAGAGGCCGAGTTCCAGAATTAACTATGATGCTCTTAGTAAGCTAGCTGATGAACTGGTATGTAGTTCCCTCCTGTTCTCTTTTTTTGTTTTCCCTTCCTTTATTTATGAACTTGAATCAGTACGCAGTCTTGAAAAAGTTTTTATGCTACCTGATTGTTCTATGATAGGATTATTTGATAAAGAGCCATAGGGAGAAATGAATATTTTTATTTTTATTTTTATTTTTTTTGTAGATGATGCACGTTGGTCATTCTTATTATGTGACACTCAACTTCTATCTCTGTAACGGTGTTGGAAACTCAGTCAAGTAGCACCCTCAACTTTTTAAATAAAATCATGTTTTAAGTGGCCATGGTATTGAGATAACCCTCTTCAATTATTACCTTCGCGTATCTTTGTCCCTGGATAATGGCATTGTTTATAGACCTTACTATGTTGAAACACTAGCATTTTATGCTAGTTAAGTTTTAATTATAACCAGATTTACTGACTTGCGTGCAGAAACGTACAAAGGACCTATTAAACAAACAGGAAAATCCAGTAAACTACTAATCTTCCCCATATAAATGATTGTGATAGTTTTCTTCTTTTATGTGATAATTGTACTAAAAGGTATCACCGACATGTCCTGTTTTAAAAAGTTTGACGATCAGTTATTCTCAATATAATACTTTCAGGGACAATAAGTTCTACTCAAATAATTCCTGATGAGTCCTAAGGTTGTCATTGAATAATCTCCTCTACTGTTTATACGTATTTGATTAATAGAAAAATACCACTACTTTTCCTTTTTAAAAACTAATTATACTGGCATAAAGACTTCTGTCACATTAGTCCTATAAGTTGTGGCCAGATACCATAATTAATGGTGCAGTTGTGGGATTTAGTGTTATAGGAACGTTCAAGCAATGGTTTTTATATAGAACCAAACTGTTGAAGAATATATAGAGCAGAGACCTTACTCAATCAAGACTTTTGCATTTCCTTCATTTTGCTAATAAAATAGAGTGTGTACCCCAGAATGTTTCCTTAGATTTATGTGTTTAAAAATAAGGCTTACAAGTTATATTGATAAAACTTGAGCTATTGAGCTATTGAAGTTTGGTCCTCCTTTTAGCTTAGACTGAAAAATTACATTGAGGACTATCATTTGTGGGATGAATTTAATGAAGACAATTGATCATTGAGGCTTTATTAGGCATCAAGTGATTCAGCAATTGCAATTTTGAACGAGTCCAACTATCAAGCTGGTTGTGTTCTTTGTGAGTTAAAATTAAGCCCTTCTTTGGACTAGTCTGTTGATTAGGGATACCAAAACCTCTTCTTGATGAGTAGAACATTTGTATCAAGTATCTGATCTTTGTCAGAAAGTATAAGACATGTCCATTCAGCTTATGGACACTTGTGTCTTTAACGCTGCTAGTGGAATTATTGTGCAAGTGGGTTTACATTTTTGCTCCCAGTGTATATATGGCAATGGTGGAAATGGATATATAGCAAAATATGATCATGCTTGCATGAAACTTTGCATGTGATGGTGCATATAATATGACAGAAATCTCTGATGTCATTCCAAACACCTCTTATCTCTGCCTGTAATAGGAGTCTTAAAGGTTATTTGTTCATATTGATAATGTTGATGTCTAAATTAAACTTGTTGCTGTAATCTACAATACGAACCTACATAATCTATTTTAAGGATTCATCTTGATAGATTGATGATGTATTAGATTTTGGATCAGACATACAATCTACTACAGTTTAAGGAATTGAGGATAATAGATTTAGCGCATTTAGATTTTCTTGCATATTTGCCCCCTATAAAGTCAAGAACACTGTTGTTGATCAGAATGCTTCCCAACTCAATTAAGTGTTCTATGATGTCTTTTGACAGAAGTAGAATTGGACCAATCCTAGCATCATTTGTGGCAGATGTATATCTGTGGATGCATGTGCAAACTTATCAGTTTGACATTACAACAGGTAACTAAGATTAGAGTAGTGTAATCTCTTCATATGATTTGGTGTTGCTGATATCCTTCTCATTCACAAATTCAAGCTGTCCACCATTGTAACATATCTTGGTGCCTTTCAAAGAATCAAATGGTTGAAAATTGGCAGTGATCTAACAATAATTTTTAGCAAGGACGAATGTTATCTTCAGGTACAAAGTTAATGAAAGTTCATTCTCTGATGCATTTTTATCATTCACACGGGTTATGGCAGGAATGAGTTGAGCAAAGTGGAGTAAACGAAAAGTTAGCATTGACTGCCATTTGCATCATTAAGTAATTTTAAACTGATTCTTGTTTCTTTTCCAAATTGGTGGTATCATTGGGAAAACTCAGTGTGGAAAAGGTCTGTTCGGCAGCATGAATGGCCCATATAATAAACATGAAAGCAGCATAACAGGAACCTCAACGAAGCATGATTAGAAAAATTTTAATTCTCATGATGTTTTTGTCTACTTTACACTAGATTTCAGCATTGTGTTTGTTTCGGTTTAATTAGCTTCCTGTGTTCGCTTGATGTCACTGCAGAATCAAGGTCTTGATAGCAATGGTGGTCAGTAAGGTGCAGTCGATACTTACCTCTTCTCTACCGAAATGAACGTGCCTAAGAACTCTAGGTAAATAGTGTTGCAGTTGCTGCATATGGCATAATTATTAGATGCCAAAATACTGGTGACAACTTGGTGAGATGATAAGAAAGTTGAAGATCATCGTGCTGAAGATCGTAAACTTTCTGAGCAGTCTCCCTGACAAATCATCCGTGAAAGGTCCAGCATAGAGGATGAGCCTCTCAAAACTATAATGAGCTAAATTTGATGAGCCTCCAACAATAAGATAGGAAGCTTTTGTCTTGTCTGACTTTAGAGTGAAAAACTGGCTTTGTAATTTAATATTCTCGTTTTAAGAAAAAATTTCTATCTTTTCTGCTTTTGGTTTATGCCGAGTTAAATGCAAGTTGCTCACACAGGGGTTCAAATTCACGAACACGTGGCATAATTGAAGAGTTGAGCTTTGCTGCAGAGGAACAATATAAAAACTTGTTCTTCGTAATTAGGGCTGGTAATTAAGTCCAAAACTTTTAACAACCTACCCAAACTATCCATTTAATTTAAAAGGTTGGGTAGGGTCATTTGGATGATTAATTTTGATGGATTGAGTAGAGTAAACCCAACTTGTTCAATGGATAGGGTGGATTTTTTTCTTAGATATTCAGTACCCAATTTATGTTTATTTACAAATATGAAGACAAGGGAAAACGCCGTTTCTTTTTCAAGTCTCTGGTCACTCCTCTATTTAATCATACCCATTGCCGAACTATTTATTGTCTTCACTAAATTCTGACTCTTACCAATATCCTGCACGCTTTCTTGAGTTTGAGTTTGAGTTTTCTACTTGATGTAACACTAGGCTTTCCTAAAAGTTCAATGGCAATTAAATCTCGATGGGCTCTTACTTTACTGACTTGTGTATTCAGCCTTGTTTTCACTATTAACTACACATCCTGTTTCAGTCGAATCAAAGTGTCTAAGGTTGCACTAACTAAATGATTAGTTTGCTGAAGTACTACAATTGAGCACAATGTACAACATATGGAAGTAACATTAACTTAACCTATAAATACTCCTCTATAATCCCATTGGCATTGACACCTCATTTTGAGCTTTGCCAATTATTCATGACAAATTTTAATTGATTGGAAAAATTAGCTGTCATTGCTAATTTCCTCAATCACATGGAGCCAAAATGAAAATGTAATGTTTTGGGAGGAAAAGATGAATAAATATTCCTTTATAATGTTTTTCTTTAATAAAAAAAATTCCTAGGATGAGAGAGCATGAAGAAATATGCAAGAAAGGGTTGAATGTGTGTGTGAATGTGAAAATATGCAGGGAAAAAGTTCGCAAGTATTTTTCCTAGTGAAATTGTGTGAAAACTGCGCGTATGAGCGTGTTAGTGCATGTGTGTGTGTGAGAGAGAGAATCTATAAAAAAATAGTTTCCAAATAGTTTATTAAGTGAAAGTGTGTGACAATGAGTGTATACAATAATAAAAGTGTGAATATTTAAAAGTGGATGAGAAAATATATTGAGTTATAATTGACTTTTTTGGGTTTGATCTAACCCAATTAAACCAAACCCAGAATAACACATGAAAGTGTGTGAAAATGCGTGTATGTGATAATAAAAATGTGGATATTTAAAAGTGTACGAGAAAATACATTGAGTCATAATTGGATTTTTGTGTTTGACTTAACCTAATTAAAGTATTAAACCCAATCCAAATTAACGCATGAAGTAGTTGGGCGGATTGGGTTATAAGTCCAATCAGCAAAACACATCTGCACTGCAATAGGATAACATCAGCACTTCTACTTACTACATGGAATACAAAAATGCATGCAGATGTTTTCGCAACTCAGCAATCCATTTAAGGTCATTAAAAGGCTTCTCTCTGAAAATGGGATGAGATTCTCATACGCATAAAGCACGATCTAAACCGGTCGCTTTGATATAATTGTGCCACGTGACTAGGGGTAAAAAAACTCGCTTAGTTGCAGTTAAGAATTCAATGTACAAGCACGTGACTACTAAAACGTTTCAGTACCATATTTATATGACCGCAAGTTTAAACCAGCAAAGATTTGATCCCTTAAACATAGGTGCCAAAACTTGATATTTTTAAACTAATTTGAGTGATGTGTTAAGAATTCACAATAGAAGGGTTCTTGAATTGCTACTAATATTGCATGATATTTTACAAATTAATAGATAGTTTAAGGGTGTATATTCGATCCAAAACAACCAATAGTTATTGCTAGATGTTTACAATAACAGTCACAAGCCCAAGCAATTCTCAATGTTTTTCAAGTTCTTGATTCTTATGGACTAAAAGCGTATTAAAGTGCCCCATTCACCTCAAAAAAAAAAAAAAAAGAAGGAGGAATCAACTTGGTCACTCTCCTCTCTTTGTCGCAAATGCAATCAACACAGTCATTTCCTCTAAAAAGAAAACGTAAGCATACTTTTTTTTGAGATTTCTCAGGTATGGTAATAAAGATTTTGCTTGACTAATTTTGCCATAATTGAACATAAAAGAAAAATAGTTTACTAAAGAATAATATACATTGAATGAAAAAAGATATTAGTAGCACACTCTTATTTGCTAATAGCACAGCTCTTGACGTTTTTCCTCGTGTAAAATTATGCTTGAACAATCGAAGAAATTAATTGGATTTTTTATCTGATTTTAAAAGTATGCAAAAAAAAATTGAAACCATGAGCTAGCATGTCTCTTGGTTAAAAGTTTAGGGGGTGATTTTCAATCTTGAGAGAGTTCATGGGTGTAAAAGTGCAATTAACCCAAGAAGGTATATGGATATTTTGGTTAGCGTTATCCACAAAACTCTCTCTAAGGTATAGTTACATTTGCAATTTATTCCCTAAACTTTATTTTTTCACACTTAATCACCTGAAAGACAAAATTGCTCCTCTATTATGTTAATTTTTTTCTTTTTTCTTCTTTGTTTTCTTTTTTTTCAATTTTTTAAAATTCTTATTGTTAAAAAAATAAAAAATTTCTTTATCCATTAGTTTCCTCTTCCAAAATTTGTATTCATCAAAGAAACAAGTTTTAATTAAATTTATGTTCTACTTCTATTTTTTACATATTAAGATTCTACATTAATTTACATATCTTCTATTTGTCATAATTTATCCTAACAAAAAATATAAGATGTCCATTCTCTAACTTACGAACAAAAGTACACACACACACACACACACACACACACACACACACACACACACACACACACACACACATATATATATATATATATTTCCTTGTAATTTGTAAATTAGTAAGTTACCAATCAATTATATTCTAATTAATTTCATCCAATTTTCAATCCATGAAATTATAAGGAAAAATTTTATTCTATGTCCTTATAATTAGACAATTCAAGAGTCAGAATCAAGATGATATATTGGCCAGGTAAAATTTTTATTAAACATTTATGATACAATTGTTCAAGGATGTGTTAATATGGACCATGTTCCCAGTGTAATTAATGCAAGAGTTGTCCTACACCAGAATTTTTCATAGCAACCGCAGCATATCAACCTCTCAACTTTTTACATTATGTACAATTGAATTTGAAACTTAATATATGCATTGACAGAGATGTGCTGCACCTAAGGGCTATCCAATGCCAGCATCCATAGAGTATGAGCTTCTCTTGAAGTAAATGAAAATGAAATGAACCAAAAGAACAAAACTTAGATTGAGCACAAAAAGGGCAATTTTTACTTCACGCTCTTCTGTGTGTCCTTATGAAGTTTGTTGTGTTCATGGCAATTACTGTTGAGCAGCCATGGATTCCAACCAGGCAAAGGGATGTGGAAAACAAAAGGAGAGCCTTCCACTGTTTTCCAGACGCAAGAATGGCTAATGCAGTTGATACAAGAGCAACAGCAGAAAGTGCATTTTTCCATGCCTCGAAAGCTTTGACAGTGGTTCTGCAGTCCGGGCAATGGATTACATGGCGGAAATATCTATTGGCGAAATTTGGTGCATGCATTGTTCCAATTCCTCCCTTGGCTGGCTGAGAAGCGGAAAGGTTAGCGACAAACCCCGCTGGAGCTTGCTCTATGACTGCAGGCACTTTAGGCAGTGAAATGGTGCTGTACCCAATATAGTAAGGCATCCCATGTCCAACTCTGTCCATCCACCTCCTGTACTCAGCTACCCAAACATCTGAGGACTTTAAATTCAAATACAACACCTTTGTTGGGACCTTTGCTTTCATCAGAAACTCATTCTGTGAGGAAAGAAATCCCATATCTTGCTCAAAAACCTTACTGGAATTCTGATGCAGGAACCACTGAGGAATTATTTTCAACAGTCCAGATGGTTTTCTTGTGCTCCCAAACCTCACAATGAGCATTGATTTCCCCTGTCCGGATGGTCGACATAAAAAGAGCCCACTAAAATAGTGCGTCTCCCCATTCTTGTCAATGATTTCTCGGTTGTTTTGCAGAACACAAGGTGCTTCAAAGCGCAAGAAATTTGGAACATAGTTTGGAGTGGACTGATCGCTTTCCCTTCCCCACCAACCTGCAAAGCCTCTACCTGTTCTTTCAGTCAGCTTGAAAAATAATGCTGTAGCATCTTCCCTTTTTGCAGTAAAATCAGTTCTATCATGTGAGATTGGGACATGGGCCGGATCCATAAGGTTTTCTAAAAGAATAGAATGATCGTATGGAAGCTCGTGGATTGTTGAGGTATCCTTGAATCCAGGTCTGGCAAAATTCTCAAACCAAGGAATTTTTTCAGGTTTTGGTGGTGTTTTATGAGACATCCATACCCATACAACTCCTTGGGAATCTATTACTTCGTATTTCTTGGCACAAGCTGATCGTGGGATGCTTGCATTTGCAGGGAGCTGTCCAAAATATAAGTTACAAAAGCACATGGAGAATTAGTATTGGATGTGAAGCAAACTTGCAGTATGTCCAATAAGAGTATATAATAAACAAGAGGAGACATGAAAACAACCTGAGGTATCTTCACACACCTGCCATCACCTTCAAATTGCCAACCATGATACAAACACTCTAGCCTCCCATCAAGTAGTTGACCTTCCGAAAGTTTTGCCAGCCTGTATTTAAAAAAGTGCAGGTAACTACTGGAATTGAGCAGAAATTTAAAAGCTAATAAAAAGGTTTTGGTGAATAACAGAAAATTACATATGATTCAGACATCGCAATCTTCTCAGTTAATTTAGTTTTTTTCTGAGAGAAGCTAACTTAATTTGATTGAGGACAGACAGCTATCTTTGTGCTAGAATTTGCTAACTCAAACAAACAACAAATCCCCTTCAAGATTTTCCATTATGCTCCTCATTTGCATTTTCCAGCTTTGATGCCAAAA